TGTTTTGCCCGGTATATCATAAACATAAATTTTTGCTGAATAAGTTGCAGCTTGAGGTCCCTAGAAATAACAGGTATAAGATCTAGGGCCATATCCCATTGCTTTGGCAAAATTGGGCAACCTATCTCATTCCATTCATTAGTGGGATCATTAGTTATATCGTGTTTATTAATCAACATCAAATATTTATAAACAGATACAGTGGGTTTTATTTTCTGTATTGATTCCATGAGAGCTTCCAAGAGTAAGGGAGACTCTGAAAAAAGTTAGTGCTGCAGGGCCATATTTAGGTACCGGTGTATGTTGCAGTTGTAAATATCGACTGAACTTGACAGGTATACTTAGTCCTCATTTGAGAAAATAACAAAAAACTCATCGTTATAGTCTATTAATTGGTCCAAATGAAAAAGAATGTTCTGTAGGTAGAAAATTTACATTGTGCAAAAGAGAGTCCTGAGGGAGTCCTGAGACAACCGTGACTGGCCTGAGGTCACCCAGTAGCCCTCATATGTCTCAAAGCAGGTGACAATCACCCACCCTTCCTCTCCCCCCAGAAGGCACCATGTGAGGCAGGTGGGGCTGAGAGAGTTCTGAGAGAACTGGGACTGGCCTGAGGTCAACCAGCAGGCCTCATGTGTCTCAGAGCGGATGACAATCACCCACCCTTCCTCTCCCCACAACAGTCACCTTGGGAGGCAGGTGGGGCTGAGAGAGTCCTGAGAGAATGGTGACTGGCCCAAGGTCACCCAACAGGCTTCATATGTAGGAGGAGGGAATCAAACCCACTACACCATGCTGCAGATGAATTCCATAGAATCATTCACGAGGAAAGAGGCTTATGTTCTCGGGATGATTTTGATGGATGGTGTCTGTGCTTACTTGGTGTCTGTAGTCAGACCTAGACATGTATCCTGAGACTATGTCACACACTGCGATTTTGTGACTGGTACATGCTGAAGGAACTGAGGGGTGGCCTGGGGGGGGGGGGGGGGGCCCTGTAAGGGATTTTGTAGTGTCACAGGATGGGAGGGATGCGCCCACATTTTGAGAATCATAAAATTTATCCTGGCTGGTTGGGTGTAAATTAAATTTAGCCTAGAACTCAGCAAGAATTGGGTGGAGGATGGGGGTGGGTTAGATTCAACAATTGTATCACCTGCAGAAAGAAGTTATAAAATTAAATTAACATGGGCAATCGTGATTATTTCATAAGCCACCAGGACAAAAAGGTGTCTTCTGGCACTTTAAAGATGCACTGATTTATCCAAACATAAGGTTTTGTGGGCTCATTTTGGAATTGCTGAGAGAGGCCTAGGTCAGTTGAACATGATCGAGGCCTAGGTCAGTTGAACATGATCCATATGAAGTAATTTGGTTTATACTGGGTACTGTATGAGGAATTATTGTTTGGGATAGTCCATTTCGGGGTGGCCTTTCTGCTTAACTTACTTGCCCTGCAAGAATAACCGCCTGTCTGAGCACAGTTGCTTTCACCCTCACAGTTAAAGAGAACAATAAGTGCTTGTAAGTCATGTTTGGGGACCTGGCGGAGAGCGGTGAGGTAAATTATGTGAGGACATGTAAGCTTTCTCTCCCTCTTTTATCGTTATTTCATCAAGCTAAAAGCCTTCGCTTTTTCTCTCCCTCTCTTTTGAAGAAAAAAGCTCCCTTTCCCCTCCTACAATAAGACAGACCTAAAGATGTATATCTCTTTTTTAAAAAGGTCCATAATAATTAAATGTACTGCTGTGGATAGCTGTTTTGCTTGTGCACAGCTTTCTTGACTCCTGTTTTGTGTTCTTTCTTAACGCTATCGAACCAAGCTGGGGGGAAAAAACCCATGAATTTAACTCAACTGCCTGTAAATTGGGCTTCGAGCAACGAAAAGAATTGAGCGAGCAATAGAAGTCTCAGGCTGTGGGAATGAAAGGCCTCGTCCTTTGAATAGTTTTGGACCGATTTCAGGCTCTGCTGGATATCTCCATTATACTTTGTGTGTTTTAGGTTTTTATTGCTCATGGTGTATTTGCCTTCTCAGCCAAGCTCCTTTTATTTAATGCACATTTTCTTTTTTGGGTATGCTGAGAGGGAGGATGAAACCAAAGTTGTATCTCAGGATCTGTGTGCAAGATCTGCATTGATTCTTTTTAGTTCTTGGTTTGACTCGCATGTCCTCAGACGTACACAATGTGGATGTCACGCAGCTGTGTACATACGTTAAAAGGTTTGTATCTGTGTGTGAGACGTTTTCCCTACGAGAATCGGGATCTAAGGAGCTGCCCTGTGTGCCGTGAAAATCTGTGTCTATTGCACGAGTAGCACAACGGTGTTCCCTGGGAACAATCCGGCAGAATTGATAAACCCAGCTGCATTTGGAGTTTTTGTGTGTAGGCATTGTTGTTCATTGAAACGAGCTGCAGAGTGCAGACGTTTCGCCATACAATCAGCATTTGATGTTACAGAGCAGAGGATATTGTCAGCCCACAAAGTGACCTCCACGATAAGTTAACCCTGCAGCTCTGTGGTGGAAAGTACCATCAAGTCGCAGCAGAATTGTGACAACCCCTTAGGCTTTCCAAGGCAAGAGACGTTCAGCAGTGGTTTGCCGTTGCCTGCCTCAGGGTAGCAACCTTGGACCTCTTTGGTGGTCTCACTTTGGTGGCCAGCCCTGCTTAGCTTCCATGATCTGATGAGGTAGGGTTAGCTGGGGGCCATCCAGGTCAGGGCCCTGCAGCTCTAATAACTAATTTTCCAGCTTGGCTGAGAAACATACTTCATGGAGGCCCACCTGGTGACCTAGGGCAGTGTTTCCCAAGCTTTTCATTATGGTGACGCACAAGCAGGGCTGTAGCCAGAAAAGTATGGTTGAATGGGCCTGGAGAAGCGGCAGGTCCAGCTCCTCTCCAACCTCTAGTCTCCCTGTAGTCCTCTGGTCATTTCGATTGGAGAGACTAAATTCCGGGCTGCTTTTCTGTGTAAGCCGGGGGGGGGGGATTTCCAACTCTCTCTCTTTTGCCTTTTGCAATTTTATTTTATTTTTTGCAGTTTTATTTTATTTGTATTTTTTAAAACCTATTAATTTTTTGGCCCAGGAAAAAAAGGAAATGAGACTGAAGCTTCCCTGATTGTGGCCAGGGTCATTTTGGAAACCTCACACGCACATTACATTTTTAAAATACCTGTTTGAATTTTTTGTCCCAGGGGGGCAGCACTAATCTGTGGGGGGTCATTGCCCCCAAATCCCTCCCCCCCCCCCCCCCCCGTGACCCCTCTTCCATGCCCAGAAGAGGGCAACCATGGAGACCTATCTAGGGCCGGCCAAAGGGTTTTTGGTGCCTGAGCAAACAATGACCCTGGTTCCCATCTGGTTCAGCCTTTCATTTTCTACCGTGGCTAACTAGATGCTTCTGAGAAACCAGCACAAAGGGCGCAGCTGCCCCCACTATGGACCCCAAGCAAGTGGCATTCCTAAGGACACATCCTTTGCATATGGAGGTCACATTGAGAACATAAGAAGAGCCCTGCTGGATCTGGCCAGTGGTCCATGTGGTCTAGCGTCTCACACAGTGGCCAACCCATTCCTCTAGATGGCCAGCAACAGGGCATAGAGGCCGAGGCCTTCCTAAGAACATAAGAAGAGCCCTGATGGATCAGACCAGTGGTCCATCTAGTCTAGCCTCTCGTCTCACACAGTGGCCAACCTGTTCCTCTAGATGACCAGCAACAGGGCATAGAGGCTGAGGCCTTCCCTTGATGTCACTTCCGGACACTGGGATTTCCCTCATGGGGAAACATGGAGGTCCCCCTCAGTTACATTCCAGCCTTTGACCACCCACTCCTCCTCTGTTACTTCCCTGTAATCCCCACTAAGAGTCTCACTCTGGCGACCATCAGGACACATTTTACTTGATCCTCTGACCACCCACTCCTCCTCCGTTACTTCCCTGTAATCCCCACTAAGAGTCTCACTCACTCTAGCGACCATCAGGACACATTTTACTTGATCAACATGTATATGGAGGTAAGAAAAAAATACCAGCTAATGTTTCCGAGGCCAGATCTTGGTTTCCAAGATACAAAAGAGAGCAGTGGAAAGGGTGGGGGTGGCCATTGAGGAGGGCTGGTTCCATGACCCCCTTCTAGAAGTTCCACAACCCACTTTTGGGTCCCAATCCAAGGGTTGGGAAACACTGACTAGTGGACACTTTTCACGATGCAAAAGCCACAGGTGAGTCTGGAGAGCCAGTTTGGTGTCATGGTTAAGAGCACGGACTCTAATCTGGGAGGACCGGTTTAGATTCCCCACTTCTCCACATGCAGCTGCTGGTGTGACCTTGGGTCAGTCATAAGTTCTTTCAGAGCTGTTCTCTCAGGAGCAGTCCTCAAAAGAGCTCTCTCAGCCCCACCTACCTCATAGGGTGTCTGTTGTGGGGAGGGGAAGGGAAAGGAGTTTGTAAGCTGCTCTGAGACTCTTGAGTGAAGGGCGGGGTATAAATCCAATCTCTTCTCTTCTTCCTCTTCTTCAAAACTCATCAAGCAAAGTATTAGTCCTGTGGACAAGCTGGTCCCCTCGAGATATGCCCTGTGAGAGGCATTGATGGATGTTTTGGCTGACCTCTTCAAGGAGGCGTCGCTTGCCTCTTCCTTTCTTCCCTTCCTCTGTGACCTGCTGTTTCCTGCAAGGACAAGGAGGAACCAATAAAGCGGAGATGGTTGCATAGCAATTGTCCCTCGTGCTGCCGTGCGGTTTTTAGATCACCCGGAAGCAGGCCCATTCAGAACCCAGTGCCTTGGTGCTCTTTTATGAATCTCTCGTCCCATTGCAAAATTCAGGATTTCTGGATGTTGTGGTTTTTCCCCCTCTGAGAGAAGAATTCCTAGTCCCACAGCTAAAACACCGTGCCCGTTCAGTATTTTGACTGTGAAGCGCTTTGCCTCAGGATAGCCCTTCTACTGAGCATTGTAGAGATATCTGCTTGACTTTGGTCTCCCTCTTCCAGCGGATCCTTTTGAAACGATGCTGAAGTCCTTGCTGCGGTATCAGTCTGGCCTGGGTGGAGACGTGGGCGAGAGCTGCCTGAGGAAAAAGCTGTACGAAACCGGGGTGGCCAAATCACTGCAGAGTAGCTTTCCTGTCATCCAGAAGGTGAGTGGCTTCAGTGGAGGGCTGCCCTTTGACTCCTCGGTTAAGGGGCGTTTCAGATGGGAGAGCAGTCCTTGAAGGCCCCAGTGAAGGGGGGGAGATGGGGGGAAGGAACACTTTTTCCCCCAGTTGGCTGTGTTTCTGGAGGAGGAGGAGATTGGATTTATACCCCACCCTTCACTACCCAAAGGTGTCTCAGAGCGGCTTACAAACTCCTTTCCCTTCCCTTCCCCTCCCCACAACAGACACCCTGTGAGGTAGGTGGGGCTGCGAGAACTCTGACTCTTTTTCAAGGACAGCTCTTGTCAGAACTATGGCTTGCCCAAGGTCATCCAGCAGGTGCAAGTGGAGGAGTGGGGAATCAAACCCGTTTCTTCCAGATTAGAGTCTGCGCACTTAACCACAACACCAAACTGGCTCTCTGGGAAAGTTGGAGTATGTGCCGTACTTTCTTACCAACTCTAAACTTAGTTTAGTATTTTTACAACATAAAATGCATCGTTTGGAAATGGATTAGCATATAAAATGGTAATATATGACATAATATATGGCATATTTTATGAGATTTAAAGGTATAGATACTATAGTTTTCTACAGGCAATACTTAATTTGGGGGGGGGGGCTGACCTGGATGGCTGATTTTGTCAGATCTCAGAAGCTAAGCAGGGTTGGCCCTGGTTAGTATGTGGATGGGAGACCACCAAGAAATTCTGGGATTGCTCTGCAGAAGAAGGCAATGGCCAAACCACCTCTGAATGGCTCTCCCCGCCAATCAGCTGAAGGGCCCTTTAAATCTTGCCGGAGAAAGGGAGGGAGAGGGGCATGCACCACCCCTGCTTCTTAAAAGCACTTAAAGGATTCCTTTAAATGCTTTTGGGAAGAAGCGAGGGGGCCTTTAAGGAAGGGAGCTAGTCCTTTAAGGAAGGGGGCAGAGCCCCCAATAGCCCCAGCTTAGCCTACAGGCCTGAATTTGCTCCCTGTGTCGTTGGAGCCCTTCTGCCCTTGAAGCGTTGCTAGTTTGAAAGTCTAGCATTATCATTGCTAAGGTTATTGCTCTGATGTAGGCAGATAATATGGCATGTAACATGTAGGATTGTTTTCCCAGTGTCTCGCAATTGGAAGCAAATGGTGCAATGTCTACAGTTTTCTTTCATTCTTTCCTTTTTGGTAAGTTGTCGGAAGAGTTGCTGGCAAAATGGCTGTCCATCCCAGAGTCTCAACACGTGCCTCTCAGCCAGCATATGTTGGGGTTTGCGATGAAAGCAGTGACCCAGATCGCCATGGGCAGTAGGTTTGAGGATGACCAGGAAGTAATCCGATTCCGCAGGAACCATGATGCGGTAAGTCTGTTTATTTTTTTAAGAACTCCATCGGTGGCTATTAGCCACAAGGTATAGATAAGAAACTCTCATTCTGGGGCAAGTGATGCTCTGTATTCTTGATGCTTGGGGGGAGTCAACAGTGGGGGGGCTTCTACTGTCCTGGCCCCACTGGTGGACCTCCTGATGGCACCTGGTATTATTGGCCACTGTGTGACCCCAGAGTGTTGGACTGGATGGGCCATTGGCCTGATCCAACATTGGCATCTCTTATGTCCTTATGTCCTTAAAATATCCCTAAATAATCACAATATACAAAACGTTCCTACTGTCAGTCACTAGACTTGAGTCCAAATTAATTTCAACTCCGTGGTCTTCAACAGAGTTCTACTCTACACACCAAATCTCTAAAATGCAACTTTCTCTTCAGTCAATGTCAAATACATTCCATTGAACGATGGCAGATTTAATATTTTGCATTAATTAATAAAACGCAGTAAGAACCTTACACTGTTTGACTCACTACCTGTAAAGTTAAAGTAACAGGGAGAGTCTCAATAAACAATGCAGTAAGTCTAGAGGAGGAAGAGGAGTTCAATTTTAGTTCACTTTCTGTTGGTTTGTTGATGCTTGCAGTTCAAAAGTGCGGTGCTGCACACCTGGGATGGCTACTCCCAAGAGTAACAGTTACAGGTGATCTCCTTGATTTTCTCTGTGATTTGCTGGGCCCTCATTCATGTGCGTTTCTCCTGCAAAGACACCTGTCCCAGAAAGTCTGCCCATAGATTTGTGTGGGACCACCCCATTTGTGTGGGATTTGTGTGGGACCACCCCATTTTCAGTCTCTCTTTTTTTCCATTGAGAAAATGCCATGCGGTGTCCATGTGGGTCTGACAGTGATGTGTACTGTTCACAAATACCTCCCCCTCCACACCCCCAGTAACTGCTGTTCCACGCATCCTTCCTTTGCTTCCTTCCCTTGCTGTTCCACGCATCTTTCCCTTGCTTCAGGGAAGTCAGGGCAATAGGCTAGTTTGGCAATATACCTGTGAAGTTGGCAAAGTTAAGACGTAGACTTGGTTCAGTCATCACACTACGAATGCAGACATCCTGGCTTAATTGCACCTGGTTCCCAGGCAGAGCACTCACCAAAATGTAGCTCAGGATCCCAGCTGGTTCTCTGCAGAAGAGATACAGGGAAAAGCAGAGTCTATGAAGGGGCTGTAGCTCAGTGGCAGAGCATCTACTTGGCATGCAGAAGGTCCCAGGTTCAATCCCTGGTATCTCCAGTTGAAAGGATCAGGTGGTGGGTGGTGTGAAAGCACTCACTGGAGAAGACCCCTGCCTAAGACCCTGGAGAGCTGCTGCCGGTCTGAGTGGACAATACTGACCTCGATGGACCGAGGGTCTGATTCAGTAGAAGGCAGCTTCATATGTCCATATAGGAAACTAGTATTTCTTTTTTTTTTGAGCCCCCAAAGGGTATTTTTTATTGGGTTTTTTTTAACACTACAAAAACTACAACAGAAAAAGGGAGGGGGAACACTACATATAAGGGAAAAAGTAAAGAACCCACTACTGACTAAAAACCCAAGAGAGGAGACCCTCCAACTCGCTTTCTACATCCAGTCTTTTCATCTTTGTGCCTCTTATGAACTGTGTCAAACTTTTAGAACTTTTAACCCTCCCCATTTACATTTAGTTGCCCAATAACAGTGCCCCCCATCATCCCCAGGAGCCTAAGTTCTCAAAGGCACAATTCAGAGTCCTTCAGCCTTTACTTCTTCTTCTCTCTTTTCCGCAGCTTGTATGGACTTTTCGGGGTTGCTGCCCCCTGCTCAGACAGAGTCCTTGCCAGATGAACCAGTTTCCAGCTCGCCGCTGGATCCACTATCATCTTCTTTTTTCTCGTCCTCCGACCTTCCCAGCTGTTCTTTTAGAAATTCTTGAGCTTTAAGAACAGAGTCAATCTTTACCTTCTTCTCTTTGATCTTGAATGTTACTCCTTCTGGAAACTAGTATTTCTTGAGGTAAATCGGGATTTAGCTTGCAAGCTATATCCTGGTTTCACAAACGAAGCTCAGTTAAGATAAACTGCTCAGTTCCGTTCAAAGTTTATTGCATGTAGCCAATGGCCATCACAGTATGAAAGATTAAAAAACAGTACAAAGATTGGCAATACATTTAAAAGAAAATTAAAATATATAGATGAAGTATGAATATGTTTTAAAATCGGGTTTCTCAAATAGCACATTCTGAAAGTACAGTCATTCCATTGCCTTATCTCTAATGTTCCTTGCAGCATGAGCATAGAGTGCCATTCTATAGGAGATAGTGGGATTGACGTCTGAGAGCAAAAAGGTTACTATTTCAATGCCTGATGTGGATTGTAAAGTTGTTAGGACTGGGTTAAGAAATTTGATTCTGGGGCCAGTATAGAGAGGGCATTCTAAAATGTAATGTATTAGATCTTCTACCGAAATCCCGCACAGACAGATACGTTGATCATATGGGGTTTTGAGGTGTCGTCCTTTTAACAGCTCAGATGGCATGGTCTGAAAGCGAAGAGCAGTGAGTGATAAACTATGCTTTTAAAAAGTAGAGACATCACCCTGCCAACAAAAGTCTGTATGGTCAAAGTGATGGTATTCCCAGTAGTAATGTATGACTGCGAGAGTTGGGCCATAAGGACGGCTGAGCACCGAAGAATAGATGCTTTTGAATTATGGTGCTGGAGAAGACTCTGGAGTGTCCCTTAGACTGCAAGGAGATCAAATCAGTCAATCCTAAAAGAAATCAACCCTGACTGTTCCCTGTAAGGCCAGATACTGAAGCTGAAGCTCAAATACTTTGGCCACCCAATGAGAAGGGAGCACTCACTGGAGAAGACCCTGATGCTGGGAAAGACTAAAGGTAAAAGAAGAAGGGGACAGCAAAGGATGAGATGGTTAGACAGTGTTATTGATGCAATGAACATGAGGTTAAGCAAACTCCGAAGGATGATGGAAGACAGGAGGGCCTGGCGTGAAGTGGTCCATGGGGTCACAAAGAGTCGGACTCTACAGTGCGACTGAACAACAACAAAAATGCTTTTGTATTATGTCTGTACTGAGCCATAGTGATTTACCCAAAGCCATCTTGTAATGGCCAAACTACACATTACATTCTTAACAAGTCTGGTCCGGGTTCGTTGGATCTGAACAGCTTTCCTAAGCTGAAATGGCCTCAGGGAGGGTGTCATTTGCATGGAGCTGCACTTGCAGTATTTCCCTGTATTTTGGGCACCTACTGATAAAAAAATAACAAGTAGTTTGGCCCTAAACTTCGTAGCTGAGTAGGAATTTGGACATGAGCACCCCACATTCTGCAGCTGTGTCATTCCCATGTTCTAGCTGGCTTGCTCATTTTTTGCATGCAACATTTTTGAGTTCTGGAATATTATATAAAGTTACAATCATTTGTGGTTTCCCTGTCCATGGTCCTGCAAGTAACAGTACCAGTCCAGCTGGGTCATCCCTTTTTTGAGCCAAGGAGGTCTTCAGCGCTCTTGGATCTGGTCTTCCACAAGAAAATAAATGGGGTAGGCACTGCAGTGGAAGATTCATGGGAATGTCTTGGCTGTAGTTCAGCAACACTATTTCAGCCATGTAGTAATTTCAGCAGATTGTAACTGTGCGCGAGTGTAAAATATTGCCAAGTCAGCATCTTAGTTTCCATCGATATTATGGAACCAAAGTGCTAATTTTTGTGTTCAGGGCAGGTGGAAGCCAGCCAGATTTCTTTAATAGCTTGGAAGGGCGTAACACGATCAATTCGTTTCTCTTTCCTTCAGATATGGGCAGAAATTGGGAAAGGGTTCTTGGATGGGTCACTGGACAAAAGCATGACCAGAAAAGAGGTGTATGAAAACGGTAAGTTCCATTCCTTGGTTCCTGCATGGAGCTATATTAGACTGAGGACTGTACATGTTGAAGGTGACCACACCAAGTGAAGAACTGCCAGTTGTTGATAGTTTCAGAAGGAGGCACCATTTTTGTTTCTTTTTCCCAGGAGCCTCTGGGGTAGTGATTATAATTATTGTATGGCATTGTGTGTAGAATAGCCAGGAGATCCTAAGATTGTCTGGCAGCCAGAAGTTCTAGCTCTTTTGGCATTATGCATCACTTGGGGGCGAGGTAGACTTGTTTTTAAGGCAAGAGATATTTCAGAGGTGGTTTTGCCATTGCCTGCCTCTGCATATTCCTTGGAGTTCGCCTTTACAAATACTAGCCAAGGCCAACCCTGCTTAGCTTCCAAGATCTGACGAGATCAGGCTAGCCTGGGCCATCCAGGTCAGGCCTCTGTGGTGTCTTGTAGGGTGCCATAGCTCCTGCTGTCCATTTTAAGAAAGCTGAGAACACCAAATGTTGGACTCTTCCAATAAGTCCTGAAACACCTGCCCTCTTCCTTATTTTTGTGCTTGTAACATTCAGTTTGATGAAATGTTCTGGGAAACTCAAATTTACTATTTGGTCCTGACGAAAAGCTATTTTGTTACTGTTACCAAAATTACAGAACTCTCGTCTCTTCCTGGGAAAAACATGCACATACTTGTCATAGGATGCATTCAGAGAGTTTTGAAATCTGTGTAGCTGCACTGTGTTTCTCCATCTTATTTGTAGATGAGAATGCGTGCTTTAGTTTCGTTTTGCACCGGAATATCCTCATTTTAAGAAACAAACAAGCCAGTAATCAGCAGGCCTTCCCAAAACTCTGGTAATGATCCTTGGACTTCTGAAAATATATTCATTCTATTTTCACTGAAAAGGCGCATAAATGATACCTTTTCTCTGACCTGGATGGCCAAGGCTAGCCCCATCTAATCAGATCTCAGAAGTTAAGCACGGTCGGCCTGGTTAGTACTTGGACGGGTGACTGACCACCAAGGAAGTCCAGTGTCGCTATGATTACCAAGGAAGTCCAGTGTCGCTGTGTGGAGGAAGGCAATGGCCAAACCACCTCTGAATGTCTCTTGGCTTGAAAACCATGTTGGGGCTCCATAAATCAACTGCAACCTGATAGCGCTATCCAGTAGTTCCTTCTGGGTGATAGCAATGGATAAGTGCTCGCCATGGCACCTGGGTGGGAGGGGTAGCTGGGTATATGCTACCCTGCCTATATTCTTTCCACCGTGATAGACCAACCGTCGGCGCGCCTTCTTTCCAGTGCCGTGTTGCAAGCCAGAAGGCTCCCCCTCCCCTTGCAGTGCCCCTGACTTCCCATAAACAGTTGTGTCCTTGGTCCTCGCGTTTTAACCCTCAGACCTGCACTGTTGTCCTCATGCATTCAGCCAAAACGTCCTGCCTTTAAGCATTGAGGAGAGCAAGTAGGATGATTCCTCTGGCTGTTGGCGGAAATTAAGCACGAGGATGACATTTTGACAGGCCAGGACGTCCTACTCTGGTGCACCATGAAATTGACAACTCCCCCCCCATCAAAACATAATGTCATCCAATGTTCCCTCTAAGCTGTGGAGACCTGTGAGCAAAAATTCTACCTTGTGAGCTACTGCCATTAAAGTTGTGAGCAGATAATTTGGCTACTGCATAAATTAGTTTGTCCTGGAGCCATCCTCCCTGAGCTAAGACAAAAATGTGTGAGCTGGAGGCTAAGAAACTGTGAGCTAGCTCACACTAACTCAGCTTAGAGGGAACACTGATGTCATCCCTAGTTAAATCCATAATGCTCATATTGAGTACATGAGATTTTACTTGTTTACAATTAAAGCTGCAACATAGTCCTGTTCTGCATGCAGCATGGTCGAAAGCTGCAACTGAGGGTCTCCCTGGCACGTGCAGTACTTGTGAGATAGGTGCATGCTTGTGCTCCGTAAAGGGTAAACGTGGCTTTTATACGGTGGGGGAGGTTTGGGAAGCGGAGGGGACCCAGCTGCCTGGCCCTGGTGTGGCAGTGTGGTTTTTAGAATGCTGCCCTCTGCTGGCTGGAAAAGAACTCGTTTCTTTTGCATGCTTGAAGCTCTGATGGAGATGGAGCTGGTCTTGAAGAAAGTCATCAAAGAGCGACAGGGCAGGAACCTCAGTCGGCATATCTTCATCGACTCTCTGCTGCAAGGCAACCAGAGCGACAAGCAGGTACGTCCAGCTGGGGTGGGTGGGTGATGGTCCATTTAACAGAGCCCCGCTAGAGCTGCTGCTAATTGCATCTTGATGGATTGGATTTAATTTAATTGCGCGCACAGATTCTCTCTCGTCTCCCTCTCCTTCCTCGCTGTAATGTCTGGCGTTTCTTCTCTTCCAGTGATGAGGCCCTGGGTGCACGTTTCTCTTTTTGGTTTCTTTCTTTAGCCTTACAGAGGGATAATGCTTAGCGTGAAACAGCTACTTTTGCTTAATACCAAGAAATATTAATGCTAGTGATTGGAAGCTGTTTATTGAGCCAACGTATAGGCTGTCCTTCTGTGGTTTAGTATAGTGGTTAGGAGCGTGGACTCTAATCTGGGAGAACTGGGTTTGATTCCCCACTCCTCCACATGCAGCAGCTGGTGTGACCTTGGGTCAGTCACAAGTTCTCTCAGAGCTCTTCTCTCATGGGCAGTTCTCAGCCAGAGGTCTCTCAGCCTCACCTACCTCATGGGTGTCTGTTGTGGAGAGGGGAAGGGAAAGGAGATTGTAAGCCACTCGGGTGGTGAAGGGCAGGGTATAAATCCAATCTTTTTTTCTTCTTCTTCTATAAGAAACCCACAGAAGTTATACAGTGTTGGCCTGTGGGGGAGGGACCAACAAGACTGAGGTTTACAGTTGGCCCCACCCTCTCATCAATAAGCTGTTGAGCCTCTTTGGGCCTTGCTTGCTTTCTGTTTCATCTTATACGGGACCTCTCTTTTTCTTCTCTCTCTTACATGGGCTTGGAGCTGTAGCAAGTTAACCTATTTTTGAAGTTAATCTATTCACAATAAGTTAAATGTACCCAGGGATCATTTCCTGCAGGGAGCGCACAGGAGCAGAGCTCCGGCAGTAAGGAGCCCAGGGCCAAACACTTGACGCAGCCAAGGCTGCTTACAAGACCCAGGCAGACAAGGGTAGGGTGGTGGGGTTTGATCTGAAACCTGGGGATCTTGTGTATGTCTCAACCAAGAACATTAAGATGCTGCGGCCTAGCAGGAAATTGGGATGGAAGTTCATAGGCCCTTTCAAAGTGCGCAAAGTCATAAATGATGTGGCAGTTGATGTTGTTTTGCCTAAGAATTTACGTGCCTTGCATTCTGTATTTCACATGAGCCTGTTAAAGAAGGATCCTGGCCCGTCTCCATGGAGACCTGTAACTACTCCTCCTCCACCTGTCATTTTGGAAGGGGATGAACATTTTGAGATCGCTGATATCCTGGATTGTAAAGTGAAACGTGGTAAACTCTGGTACCTTATCGAATGGGTTGATTTCGGTCCCCAGCACCGCGAATGGGTGGAAGAAGGGGATATTCGGGCCCCTTACCTGATCCGTAGTTTCCACAGAAGGTTCCCGGACAAACCGGGAGGTCTCCCGCCCAGCCCGGGAGATCTCCCGCCCGGCCCGGGAGGTGTGTTGTAAGTGTATTTTAAGGGGGGCAGTATGTCAGCAAGCTGCCATTCTGTTTTCTGTGACCTCTGTGTACATATTCTTTCCCTGTTGCACCCGGCTTGGTTTCTATCATCCTACTCCTGCGTTGGAATGCAAAAGATAACTGCTGGAGGTTGTGTGGGGGAGAAGATGCTGTAATGCTTGGCTATTGCTTTTCCCATGAATACTGCACCTGTGTTATGTCTAATATCCTGCCTGGTTCCCATGGACTGGGCGCGCAACCGTTTCATTAGCCCGCCAGCGGGAAAGTTATTCATTGGACCTGTATCTCTTTGAAGTTCCTTTATTATGCTTGATCTAACTGTGTATCCCCAGTTCTAACAAAGAACGTGTTTGAGTATGTCGTCAACGCTTTGAAATAAATTTTGCTTTTCTTAAAACGTGGATTTATTCTCGATGCTTGGGGATCCAACACAGGGGCCCAAAGAGGCTCAACATCTAACCAATGAGAGGGTGGGGCCAACCGCCAGGTGTACCCGAGAGAGAGAATTCCCTTTCCCTCCCAAATCCTCTTGCACGCAGAGTTACAATATCCAACACCATTAACTACTGTGGCACTGACATCTGAGTACACACGTACAGGAATGGAATTCACCACAGCAAAGCTTTGGAGTTTGATTTAAATGCTCCTTCGGTGCAGTTTCCCCTGCAGGCCGAGTTGTACGTTGCAAAGACAAGGCTCTGGGGTTTCGTGCCTCCAAGGCGTGCGTGGGCTTCATTCAGATTGGGACTGCAGCCTGTGGGGAGAGGCGCATAAGCTTTCGACCCCATGCTGTTTTCCTGACCTGCAGTGGCCCTAGGAAGTCACGAATTGCCCTGTTGTGGATACCTAAATGTAGACACTGGAACGTGACAGGTTTGGTTGGATTGTGAGAGAATAATCATAGGCTGAAATCCATCTCCCTGAACCAAATTTTGTTTCCTAGGTATTGGAAGACACAATGATATTCTCCCTGGCAGGATCCATAATCACCGCCAAGTGTAAGTACCTAATACACTTTCTATAAAACATCATACATTCACTGAAGGATGTTCTTGTCTTTTGAAAATGTTAAGAAACTCCGTTACACCTTTTAAACTAAAGTTTTTTTTATTTAGAGAGCACAAGTTTCTTTAGGCATTCCTTACTTTATCAGACGCTAGTGAGCAATGTCCCCTCTAATTTTTCCCCCCTACTGAGCAGAGCAGTTCAAAACCTGAGCAGAATATAGCTGCTGTAATCTTAAATTAAATGAAGGGCTGCGGTGGCTCAAGTGGTTAAGACACTGAACTGCAGACCAGAAGGTCAGTAGTTCAACAGTTCGAGACCTGAGTGCCGCATGACGGAGTGAGCTCCCGTCTCTGGCCCCAGCTCCTTTGGTGGGAAGGTAATAGTGTTCCGTGCGCCTTGGCGTCTAGTCATGATGGCCACATGATCATGGAAATGTCTTCGGACAGCACTGGCTCTTTGGCTTGGAAACAGAGATGAGCACCTTATCCCTAGAGTCGGATTCGACTGGCTTTCGAGCAAGGGAAACCTTTACCTTTGCCTAATCTTAAAATAGGCAATGGGCAGTGCAAGACCCTGCGTGGCTCCAGGTTGCTGCTGAGTGGGGCTTCCTGTGTCAATGAGTGGCCGTTCACAAGCACAGTTTAGAGGGATCACTGTGAGACTCTTAGCTGCAGGCTTGGAAGTCAGCTGGTAGAACGTCTGTGCCAGAACTCCTGCAGGGTCATTTCTCAGTAAGATAGAGACTCAGGTGGGGCGGCCGTGTTAGTCCGAAGCAATAGAACAAAGTTTGAGTCCAGTGGCACCTTTAAGTCCAACAAAGTTTAATTCTGGGTCTAAGCTTTCGTGTGCACGCACGCCCGGTACTTTAACCAATACATAATTCTGGCTTTCTTTTAAAAAGTCCACTTGGAGTTCTGAACTCAGAACTCCCGTTGTCCCTTATTTGGGTTTGGCCCTGAAGTGAGCTGATCCGTCTCGCGCAGCCCTTCCCCTCCCTCATCCACAATACAGGGATAATAATATGAGCCCGTTTTACAGGGCGATTGTCAAAGTAACTCAGATAATGGACGCGAACAATGCTGAGCACTTAGGAGAATGTACTATGTACTGAAGTGCAGCCTTTTCAGCAGACTCTTCAGCCTTCATCGTACGTTCTTCCTAGTCTTTGCAGACGTATATTTTTGTTTCCCCTGAGCCATCAACCAGCTCCTCCCTCCTTGTGGGAAGAAGTGCCACTTCACAGGATCTGACTTCTCCATTACAGGTCCTTAATTTTTTTTTTTTAATATTCAGCTACTGTACAAGAAGGGTAAATCAAAAGAAAGGAGCTGCTGATGAAACCTGTATTTTTCCCTCTCCTCTGATGCCTCCCCCTCTCCCCCAGTGTGCACTTGGGCAATGTACTTCTTGACTACTTCCAAAGAAGTTCAGCAGAAGCTTTACAAGGAGCTGGACCAAGTTCTTGGAAAGGGCCCCGTTACGTACGCGAAAATCGAGCAGCTCAGGTGTGTGTACAAAACTTCATTTGTTTTTGTTTTTCGGTACCACTGGGCTAGTACAGACATAACCTTGATCACTGAACAGTGGTTAAGAAAGCAGAGGGGCGCTCAACTGGGTCACATTTGCTTTCCTCCAGCGTCCTCGTCTCTCCCACGTAGGTTTCCTTTTCACTGTCACGGTTTAGAATTGTGTCCACATCTGTGCCAGCAGCTGTTTAAGCAAATCAAGAAGGCCCTCTTAACAAGAGTTTGTTATGGGTGATGAGGCAACCTGGTTAAACTGAATGCATATGTAGCACTGCATCATGGTGAGAGCCAGGGCTATTTTTGGGCAGGAACGCACAGGAACGGAGTTCCGGCTGGCTCCCGAGTTGGCCACGCCCAGCAGGAATTCATTAGCATAATAGGCCACACCCAACAGCAGAAACTCATTAGGATTGGCTACATTAGGGGTGTGTGGCCTAACATGCAAAGGAGTTCCTGCTACAAAAAAGCCCTGGGTTTTGACAACAAACAAGGTAAACAGAATAACAAGCAAAAGGTGGGTGTGGCTGGAAGACCACACTTCTGGTAACATGGGGGTGCAGCCTAATGTGCTAATGAGCTTTGCTGTCAGGGGTGTGGCCCAATATGCTAATGAGTTCCTGTTGTTGGGTGTGGCCTATTATGCTAATGAGTTCCTGCTGGGCTTTTTCTACAAAAAGAGCCCTGGTCAGAGCAAATGATGGGGTGGGGAGACAAAAGGGGAGGGTTTGCACAGGGGCGAGAATGGGGAGGGGGCAGCACGTGGCCTACTTTGTATCTTCACCAGGTCGCTGTGGCTGAATAACCAGGACAGGTATGCCCTTCTAAGTCCATTGAAGTCAATGAACTCAGTGGTGGGAAAGTGCTGGCAAGTCAGAGCCGATTTATGACAACCCCCGCAGGTTTTCAAAGGAAGAGATGAACAGGTGATTTGCCTTTGCCTGCCTTCTGCGTAGCAGCCCTGGACGTCCGGGGAGGGTGTGTGTCTCCCATCCAAGGACTAACCAGGGCCGGCCCTACTTAGCTTCTGAGATCTGGTGAGATCAGACTAGCCCGGGCCATCCAGCTCAGGGCGAGTGGACCTAAAAGGATGTAGCTCTGCTTAGAATGGCACAATAAAAGGTCCCATCCATTCTAATAAGTATTCACAAGCTGTGATGGGAGTGCTGGTTCAACGCTGAACAATTTATCTACTTCCTGGTGTTTTGGGATCCAAGGAAACTGCCTTCGGAATCCGTAGACGTGTGTGGTGTTCAATTTCATCTGGTACGAAAAGGCTTTTACTAAATCCTTGTTTGCAGATATTGCCGGCAGGTTCTGTGTGAGACGGTGAGGACATCGAAACTGACGCCCATTGCTGCACGGCTGCAGGAGCTGGAAGGCAGGGTTGACCAGCACATTATTCCAAAAGAGGTAGGAGGGAAACGGATGCTCGCATTCTCCATTCCTCATTGGTAGATGCTCATCTTTCATTTGTTATTACGATGCCCAGCAAGATGGTGTGGAGATTGCGGAGCTTTTAAACTGACATAGCAGAACATAAATAACTCTGTGTGTGTGTGTGTGTGTGTGTGTGTAAATGTTGTCATAATGGAAAAGGGGATAGGAAGATGTATTTATTTATGTGTTTTACTATTTCGTATCATTCTCTTTCAAGAGTAGGATTATGATGAAAGATGTCACATCCCTACCCCCAAATCCCTCCTTACGAAGATTATCCTGTATTAACAATAGATGGAATATTGGATTTGGCATGTTTCCAGTTCAGGCTGAAAACTGGTTGTGAATGATAGACAGACAGATAGGAAGAAGGGATTGGATTTATACCCCGCCCTTCACTACCCGAAGGAGTCTCAGAGCGGCTTACAATCTCCTTTCCTTTCCCTTCCCCTCCCCACAACAGACACCCTGTGAGGTAGGTGGGGCTGAGAGAGCTCTTTCAAGAACTGGTCCTGAGAGAACAGCTGTGAAAGAACTTACAGCTGACCCAGAGTCACACCAGCAGCTGCATGTGGAGGAGTGGGAAATCAAGCCCGGTTCTCCCAGATTAGAGTCCGTGCTCCTAACCACTACACCACAGATAGATAGACAAACAGACAGACACACACACAAACATAGATTCAGGTAGGTAGCCATGTTGGTCTGAAGCAACAGAACAATGTTTGGGTCCAGGGGCACCTTTAAGACCAACGAGGTTTATGTATTTGTTAGATTTTTACCCCGCCCTCCCAGCAAGGCCGGCTCAGGGCGGCTTACAACAATATAAAACAGTTGTTGTTGTTGTTCAGTCGCACCGTCGAGTCCGACTCTTCACGACCCCATGGACCAGATCCCGCCAGGCCTTCCTGTCTTCCGCCGTCCTCTGAAGTTTGCTCAACTTCATGTTTGTTGCATCTATGACACTGTCTAACCATCTCATCCTTTGCCATCCCCGTCTTCTTTGACCTTCAGTCTTTCCCAGCATCAGGGTCTTCTCCAGTGAGTGATCCCTTCTCATTTGGTGGCCAAAGTATTTGAGCTGTACACTATAAAACAGTACACTATAACAGTAAAATCCAGTCAAAACATATTTAAAACCATAGCTATACAACTATTAAAGTGCTAGCATTTAATCCCTCAGCGTAACAGTCAGCCTCTATATCTCCTCCAGATGTCCTTCAGATGAGGAGTAGAAGCCTCCAAGTCTCCTTCAGGTGACCCGGGCACTCGAGTCAGGCTATACTTGGGGGGCCCAGGGGGTCGGGCTCCATAGGCTGTCAGATTGTCATTGGTGGCCATGGTGGTGGCGGCTCCCAAAAGCCTGGCGGAAGAGCTCCGTTTTACGGGCCCTGCGGAACTGTAGCAGGTCCCGCAAGGCCCTGATCTCCCCCGGGAGCTCATTCCACCAGAATGGAGCTGCCACCGACAAAGCCCTACCCCTCGTTGTTGCTAGCCTGGCCTCCTTGATGTTCGGGAGGACCAGCTGATTCTGGGTCCCCGATTGCAGCACCCTCTGGGGGACATATGGGGAAAGGTGGTCCCTCAGGTATGCAAGTCCCTGGCCATAAAGGGCTTTAGTTCTGGATATAAAATTTTGGGTCTAATTCTGGATTTAAGACTTTGTCTGCATGCCCTGTATGTGGAACTGCCTTTGAAAAGTGTTTGGAAACTTCAGTTGGTGCAGAATGTTGACTGGAGTGGTCATATGGACCCTATCACTCCAGTGTTGGCCTGTCCACACTGGCTCCTGATTTGTTTCCAAGCACAATTCAAGGTGCTGGTGCTCACCTTTAAAGTTCTGTAGGGTTTGGGACCAGAATACCTGAAGGACGGCCTACTCTGTATTTGTCTGCTATGGTCGTCATCCAAGACCGTTGTTTGGGTGCCCCTTGTGCCTGAGGTTAGGTGGGTGCCAACCAAAGAGTGGGTCTTCTTGGCCATGGCACCAAATCTAGGGAATTCTCTCTCCCAGGATATCCACTTGTCCATTTCTGACGCTATCTTCTCCCTCCAGGTGAAGACTTGTATGTTTTGTATGGTGTTTTCTCAGGATCCCTCTTTCCTGCCACATCTTTTAATTACTGGTTTATAGGCTTCTAATATGTATTTTAGTTCTGTATTTAATGGTTTTTATGATATCTTTATAGTGTTTTGTTAAACTGTTAGCTACCTCGGTGACCCTGTCTGGGAAGAAAGGCGACACATAATTGTTTGTTAATCTAATCTGAAGCTGAGAATGGACCTCCAGCGTATGCAGGTTTATATACCAATGCTGTGTCATTTGGACTGGTGGAAATGATCTGTTTTTAATTCTGTTTCAGACTCTGGTGCTGTACGCCCTTGGCGTGGTGTTGCAAGACAGCTCGGCCTGGCCGTTGCCTTACAAGTATGAAACTCTAGCAATTTCATCATAGGTTTTTTTGTGATTTTCTTTTCCCCCCTTACTGGTTTGGAAATGGTAATTTTGGTCTGTCGTGTGGTACTGCCCATGGTGGACTGCGCCACTTTAGACCAGATGATGTGTTCAAATGACCCTTCATGTAGAAACAAGAGGTGGAAAAATGAAAAATAACACATCTAAGAGAAATCCTTTTCACTAACTAGTAGATTTTCCACAGAAAAGAAGGTTTTTGAAGTGGACAGTAATTAAAGATGGGACGGCCCCCATTTTGTGTTCTGAAATGGTGCGTTCCAAGAACATAGCTCTGAAAATGCACTTCAACTCCCAATGTCTAACTTATGAAAACGTGCCATTAGAGACTGTTGAATGAGTGGAAATGGATAACTATTAAGATTAGGGGTGCCTGCCTTGACTTACAGCTTGTCTCCAGACTACAGAGATCAGTACCCCTGGAGAAAATGGCTGCTTTGGAGGGTTCTTATCCGGCCCGCAAGCAACTATCTCCCTCCTGCTTTCTGCATCACAGCTCACTTTTGCCCAGCTCTCTCCTGCTTCTAGGGGAGAGAAAGAAATCCAAGCCTCCTTTCCCTCAATTGGTTGAGGGCTCCTCCCCCTCATCCTCCTTTGGGGAGGAAGGGAGGGGGGGGAAAGAGCCAG